AATGAGAGAGAGAGAGAGCACAGTTATGACCACAATGCTGAGTATTAACATCAGGTGATATGACAGACATTGTTAACCTCCCCAGCCTCAGTTTCCTCCAGCTGGAACATGGGGATAACACAACCTTCATAAGCCCAGGAGCCTTAAGTAGGTTACTGTGTGCACGTTCCTTGTTACTGTAAACACTATAAAACAATGTGGATTAGTCCTAAGTGTATTGTGATTGATTGTTATTTTATTTTATTTTATTTTTGAGACAGAGTCTTACTCTGCTGTCCAGGCTGGAGTGCAGTGGTGCGATCTTGGCTCACTGCAACCTCCAATTCTCAGGTTCAAGCGATGCTCTTGCCTCAGCCTCCCGAGTAGCTGAGACTACAGGTGTGCGCCACCATGGCCGGCTGACTTTTTTGTATTTTTGGTAGAGACAGGGTTTCACCATGTTGGCCAGGCTGGTCTTGAACTTCTGGGCTCAAGCGATCCACCGGCCTTGGCCTCCCAAAGTGCAGGGATTACAGGCAAGAGCCACCACGCCTGACCATATTTTATTTTATATATTTTTTGAGACAGAGTTTTGCTCTTGTTGCCTAGGCTGGAGTGCAATGGCATGGTTTCGGCTCACTGCAACCTCCACCTCCCGCGTTCAGGAAGTTCTCCTGCATCAGCCTCCCGAGTAGCTGGGACTACAGGCATGCACCACCAATGACAATTTTTCTTTCTTTTTTTTTTGTAGAGACAGTTGGGGTCTTGCTATGTTGACCAGACTGGTCTTGAACTCCTGGCCTCAAGTGATCCTCCCACCTCAGCGGCCCAGAGGTCTCGGATTACAGGTGTGAGCCACTGGGTCTGGCGTGTCATTAATTTCCGAATGAGGAGTTCCACAACGGAAGGGACCTGGGTTGATTGCTGCACCCTCGGCCCCTGATGTGTTGACAGGTATACAGAGAATTGCAAACACATACACATGTACCTGCCCCCTTGCACACAAGTACATCCCAGTGTCCCAGACTCCCACACACACCTTGGTACACCGACATGGGAGCACCACTGACCACAACCATCCGCTCGACCAGGGATGGGTAGTAGATGGAGAAATGCCAGGCAAGGAGGGCACCCCAGTCATGGGCCACAAGGATGCACTTGGAGTAACCTGTGGGAATCCGAGGAGCTGGCATAAGTGAGGTGCCAGGTAGGACTGAAGCAGGGGTGGGGGAAGTAGGTTCCAGCAAGGAGAAAGTGGGGGTACGTGTGTGTGCAGGATGAGGGAGGCCACGCCTAGGATGGGGGTATGTCTGCACCCAGGCCTAGGATGACATCCTTGATGTCCACCAGCAACAGGTCGATCGTGTAGCAGTCCACATCCCGGGGTGCATCTGAGGGGCCGTAACCTCGCAAATCCACAGCCACAACATGAAAGCGGCTCTGGAACTCCCGGAGCTGGTAACGCCAGGAGAACCTGCCAGGCCGGTGGGGGAGAGAGGCTGAGTCAGGGCCCTCAGGTTGCACCTGCACCCTATGCCCATCAGCGACCATTGGCAACCCCTCCTTCCTGCTCTAAACTTCCCCTAAAAGAAGGATGGGGAATCCCAGGCAGAGGCAGAGGCAGAGGCTGAGGCTGAAGCCAACTACACCCTGAATCCAGGGAGCCTCAATCAACCTCAGTACCCCTTTGTCCTGTCCCTTCAGGGCCTAGGGATCCTGGGTATGCTGGCCAGTACCCCTGTCCCCATCTATGTTCAGCTTGTCCCGATCTACGCAGCCCTCCCCACTGCCTCTTGGGAACCCAAGCTCCACCTGCCCCCGAGTCCCGTGCGCCTCAGGCCCCTGGGCCCCAGACGTACCAGTTCTCAGGGAAGCCGTGCAGAAACAGCATGAGGGGTCCGTTGCCTTGTCCAGCCGAGACATAGTGCAGACGCAGGCCCGAGCTCTAGGGGGAGGGCACGGCCTGAAGCCTGGGGAACCCTCCCTCCCTAGGCTTGAACCGTCTCGACCCCACACGACCCCGCAGCCCCGATAGCGCCCCCGTGCGATCACCTGGAGGTTCAGGAAACCATGCTCGCCCAGCGAGGGGTCGCTCAGGCAGGCGGGGCACGCGCTCCGACGGCGTCCACAGCAGCCGCGCCGGGGCCGGCACAGCACGTGCGTGAACGCTATGCAGCCGTAGACCGCCGCGGCCACCAGCGCCACCGAGAACACCAGGCTCCACATGAAGGCGCGCAGCAGCTTCAGCGACAGGCGCGACGGCGCCAGCAGCGCGGTTACCACCAGCTCGGGCATGTCGCTGCGCTCCGGGACCACGGCGGCGCTGCCGGCCGGGGTCACCTGCAGCAGTGGCGAGGCGGTGTCAGGGCTCAGGGGCCCACCGCCTTTGGCCTGGGGCCCCTCCGTGCCGTCTGGGTTTGTGGGACGCGCTGACGGAAGAGGCAGGCAGCTCCGACCGAAACCGCCGGAGCGCACGACTCACCTGAGTGCCAGGTAAACACCTGGGCGCGACAGGGACAGGAAATAAGGGTAGGGTGCAGAGGCTGGGGAGGAACGGGTTGGAAAGGGGGGAAAGAAATGGGCGGGGCCTAGCAGGGCGTGTGCGGGGCTTAGGACTGGGGCGGGGCCCAGGAGGACTCAGCAGCAGGTGGGCGAGGGTCTAAAGAAGGCAATTCCGACCCGGGCGCGGTGGCTCATGCCTGTAAGCCCAGCACTTTGGTAGGCCGAGGCGGGCGGATCACCTGTGGTCAAGAGCTCGAGACCAGCCTGGTCAATGTGGTGAAACCCCGTCTCTACTAAAAATACAAAAATTAGGTGGGCGTGGTGGTGGGCGCCTGTAATCCCAGTTACTTGGGAGGCTGAGGCAGGAGAATCGCTTGTACCCGGGACGTGGAGGTTGCAGTGAGCTCAGATCGCGCCACTGCACTCCAGCCTGGGTGACAACAGGGAAACTCCGTCACAAGAAAAAAAAAAAAAAAAAGGCAATTCCGAGCCCAAACCTTAAGGAGGGGATCCTGGATCCTCAGTTAAGTGGGCGGGCCTGGAGTGAGGGGCGGGGCATATGCAGAGTAGGTGCGGCCTACAAG